AACCTCCTTTGAAACCCCTCACTGGCAAATGTATCCTTTGAAAAGGGATCATAGGCCCCATTAACAGCTATTCATTCCCCTAGGCTGACTTTCTTTAAATTCTTTTATTGGGTGTGAGTGTCACTGGCTAGGTTAGCATTTATTGCCCAGGGGGCATTTAAGAGACTACCACATTACTGTGGGTCTGCTGTAGATCTAGACCAGGTAAGGATGGCAGTTAAAATTGAATCAGAGATAGTAGGAACTGCAGATGCTGGAGAATCTGAGACAACAAGGTGCAGAGCTGGATGAACACAGCAGGCCGAGCAGCATCATAGGAGCAGAAAGGCTGACGTTTCGGGCCTAGACCCTTCATCAGAAAAGGGTTAGGGAGGAATGTTGACTTTTAGAACCGGGTTGGAGCAGTAAAACCAGTTATTTGAGAAAACAACAAAAGGGAGTGGATAACAAGCTGTACAGCTGGATGAACACAGCAGGCCAAGCAGCATCATAGGAGCAGAGAGGCTGACGTTTCGGGCCTAGACCCTTCATCAGAAAAGGATGGCAGTTTCCTTATTAGTGAACCAGATGGATTACTTTTTCGACAATTGACAATGGATTCACGGTCATCATTAGACTCTTAATTCCAGATTTTTTATTGAATTTAAATTCCACTATCAGGATTCAAACCTCGGTCCCTGGAACATTATCTGGGTCTCTAGATTAACAGTCCAGTCATAATACCACTAGGCCATCGCCCTCCCTATTTGATATCCACTACTTTGTCTGCCCAACTGTGTTTCTCTCTCTTCGTGCTCTCCCTCCACCTATTGTTCACTCCTTTCCCCATCCCCTACCCCCACCCTATCTTCTGCATAAAAACCGACATGTTCCTAGCTACCATCAGTTCTGAGGAAGGGTCACTGGATTCGAAACGTTAACTCTGATTTCTCTCTCCAGATGCTGCGAGGCCTGCTGAGCTCTTCCAGCAATTTCTGTTTTTGTTTCAGGTTTACAGCATCTGCGGTTCTTTCACTTTTAATCTACAAAAGGGGGATCCTGGAATGCTTGTCCACAGATCCCTGGCTGTGCCAGGGCAGGTTAATCGGGTCATTAAGAAAGCATATGGGACACTTGCCTTTATCAGTGCACAAGTTCAGAAGTCACATGGCACCAGGTTATAGTCCAACAGGTCCATTTGAAATCACAAACTTTTGGAGCGCTGTCCCTTCGTCAGGTCATCACCATCAGTAGACACATAGATTCTAAGAGCAGGGATGTTCTGTCAGAATTGTACAGAGCTTTAGTGAGGCCACCAGTGGAGTACTGTGTGTAGTACTGGCCCCCACACTATAGGAAGGAGGTGATTGCACTGGAGGGGGGTGCAGAGGAGATTCACCAGGATGTTGCCTGGGATGGAGAGAGGCTGGATACACTCAGGATGTTTTCCGTGGAGCAGGGAAGGGGGCTATGGCAGAGGTGTATAAGTTTGACAGGTGTAGAGAGAGTAGATAGAAAGCTGCTTAGTTGAAGGGTCAGCAACAAGACAGCACAGTTTTGAGGTGGAAGGCAGGATGTTTAGAGGGAATTTGAGCAAACGTGGTGGAGGTCGGGTATACACTGCCCAGGAAGGTAGCTGAACCTCCCAAACTTTAAAAAGTACTTGGATGAGCACTTGAAAATGTCATAACGTTCAGGGCGAGAGATAATAGGAACTGCAGATGCTGGAGTCAGAGATAACACACAGCTGGAGGAACACAGCAGGTCAGGCAGCACCAGAGGAGCAGGAAAGCAGGACCCTTCTTCAGAAAGGCTCCTGTAACATTCAGAAACATGGGCCTAGTGGGACGAGTGTAGATTTAGCATAGCTTTGGCCATACAGACTCGATGGGCTGAAGGGTCTCTTCAATACTGCGTGATTATGAATCTATGATTCAAAATAGTACATGGCAACTCCAGTGTCACCAAGGCTTTATAGAAGACAAATTGTCTCCTGCACTCAAATCCCCTCATGATAAACTCTTCAGCCTTCCTTGCTGCCTGTTAGCTTTTAGTGTGTCCTTAACAGAGCCAACTCTCTGATACCTGCATTCCCCGACCCCTCACCATTTAACAAAGAGCCTGCCTTTTCTGTTTTTGATGTGGTTGAAAACACTCACACACACACGTACACACACACACACACACACACACACACACACACACACGTACTCACACACACACACAA